TGTTTTTGAGTTAGTTACGTTTCATAAATGTATTTTATTTTATAAAACTTTTTATGGTATGAGCCCAGAATATATCCAGAATCTTTTTATTTTTCACAGTTCTGGATCATACTCATTGCGTTCAGAATTTAATTATAATCTTCGATTACCAAAGCATCGAACAATCTTATTTACAAACTCTTTTCAATATTCTGGTGTACATTTATGGAATAGTCTACCGTTACATGTTAAATTATCGCCATCTTTACCTGTTTTTAGAAAGAATTTGGAAAAAGTTATAATTAGCCAACGTCTGTAATTTTATTATAATAGATGTCCTTTTTATTGATATTACCTATCTCTTTTAACTTTGTATATTGACTTATTTATTGTCTTATATTTTCATTAATTTGTATACTCGTTCGATTATGAAGTTATAGAATGAGCTTATCATTTTCATGTACATCGTATATATGTTTGATTGTACCATTTTATGTATATTGTTTGAAATGTAGAAGGCCCCGTGGAAGAATAGTACTTTGTACTAATCGGGTTACCTTCTTTAAATAAAGCATTATTATTATTATTATTATTATTATTATTATTATTATTATGTGTCCATTTTTTCTGTAAATACAATGGCGATTCTCACTTTTCACAAACATCGCAGTTATGATAAGGCTGTCCGAAGGCTTAAAATGTCTTTAAAATATATATTTTAATTTGAGCTATATTTTAATTTTAATTTGTTATCCTTGTTTAAAATTGCAGTCAACTTAATCATGTATTATAATAAAGCATTTCTGTGATGTGAGATGACTGTGTTGATCACGTGACGGACATTTTTGATATGCTTAAATGTTGCAAAAAAATCGCATCGGCACAAGTGCATAACACAATTATTGTGCAAAGTTTGTTACATAGATCAATTCAACGTGATCCATGGTACTTAAAAAGTGCTGGGGGCAGGTGTAATTTTTCCTTCTCAAGAAAATATTTTACGATAAATTAAAATTACCAACGTAAGAAGGGATTTTTTCCACTCTTTATCGCGATTTATACAAAAACCAATAAATTACATACGATCCCCCAGCAAAATTCAGTTAAAAGACATACTTCTCTTTTAGATTCACGCAAAATATCTTCAATTTATCCTTGTCTTTCACTTGTGCCAGTCCAATATAAACACGATTCATACATTCTAAATCTGTCTACGGAAGGGTAAGGGGAGTGTTTCAAACATAATTTTTTGCTATTGCTTGAATATATGCATATCGAACAAGCAAAAGGAATAGAGATATTTAAATATCAAATGTTAAACATTATTACAGCACACACAAGGTTAAAAAAAACCCTTACTTTTGAATTAAATACAAATCCCCATAATAAATCTGCATGCCTTGTAATAATTATGACACTTTCCCCGCCATGTCAGCTCAAGTATGCAGTGACTTGATGTCATATTCTATTATGACGTCATATCTAGGTAGTTCAGAGAAGTTAGTACAGTTTGAACAGTTTAATATTTTACGGGCCGCCTTATCCTAGCTGCGATTACATAGCAGTTTGGACATTCTTTTCGGAGGTTAACGTTTACACTTCCAAGTAACACAAAATTTCCTGATTCATCTAAATCATATACGGTGACATAACTCATTTTTGCGAATGCACTAACGGTATTCCACATTGCCACAACGAGGACAGGAAAATTGGAACACTGAGGTTGCACATTTTTCACACTCCATTATAACTTTGTTTTTGGCCTTAGATTTAGAGAATGTGTGATCACATCTGGTACACTTTAAATCGTAAATTTCCAAGTCCTCAAAATATTTCACATACCCGACTCCATTTTTCTTAATGGTATAATGTTTCACAAATGAAAATTTTTTCATTTTTCAATTTCACTGAAATTATCAAATTCATTCACTATTTTGAACGGTCCGTAAAATCCATGAATTTAAATCCATATGAATCTCACAAATCCACATGAATCAACACGGATCCCACCGCTGCCACCAGTTGTAGCGCAGGCCGAGCTGCGGGGGAGTTGTCGGCTTACACTGCCGAGTGTCTACATATTTATTGTCCGAGCGGTTTTTCTCTTAAAGTTCCAACTTTCCTCAGTATTGTGCTGAATGATAAGTCCGTATTAAAATAATAGTAAAATAATCCAAATGAAAATACAGTATATAAAATCCTAAAATCCCGTAATCCAGTATAAATCCATTCTAAATCAATTCTATCAAACTCTTATAGCATCACTTACTTTAACTATCTCTATAGAATAACTTTTCTTCAACTCTCTAAACACAGAACTACAACAACTAAACTTCATCTATTTAAATGATCAAATGCGCTCATTTATATAGTAAACTGAGCCTCCACAATGTGGGGAGTGAAAATTCTACCTCCTCTAAGTGGGGAGGCAATACATAAAATTATACAAGGACCACCCGTGATTAACTAATTATCACCGTAATTACAGGGCAATAAACTGACTATGCTTACTAATAGATAAGGTGATACAGCTAAATGGGAGATTAATAATAATAAGCTAACAATCCGGAATCTGACAATCAATAATATAAATTCTCTACATGGAACAATCCGGAATCTGACAATCAACTAATATAAATTCTCTACACTAGCTTTTGAATTGAAGGCGACAGCAAGAGACGTTTTCTTAACATGTAAAAGTTTTTGAATAAATTCACCCTCATATGAATACAAAAAGAGGTCTGCTAATAACGGAACATAATTAGTATCCAAGGGATTCTGAAATATTGTTGGAATATGCTAATCACTCCAATGAAGGGATACTTTTTTATATATGTAAAAAAACTATATTATTGAATACTGTGAATTTTCATTTGCAGTGTTAAGTAAGGGCTGTGCTACAATAGGATCATACCAAGAATAACTGGTTATATCAATGATCAAAGTAATATATTGACAACCTACTAAAACATATGGAGATAACGCACAGTATTCAAGATCAGAAGTCAATAAAACAATACAAAATAAGAACAGAGCAAACACGGACATCCAAAACATTTGAGGTAGGATCAGGTGCCATGGAGGAGTGAGCATCCCATGCTGACCGGTCACATCCGCCGTGTGCTCCTTGTCATGAGTGGGAAATTATGTAAAAAATCCGGAGTCAATTCAGTTTATAAATAATAGATTTATAATTAGCATTTTACTCAATGATAAATTGTAGTTACTGACAAGGTCGTTGTATCGACCATACAACCTACGAAATGATGACTTAAAACGAAACAGCCGGACAAGAAACGAGAAATTCTTGTTTCATCAACTTGTTTTTTAAATAATGTAATATAATATGCATATATAATTCACAATTTTCTACAAAGTGCTATTCATTTTCAATACAATTTTTATTTGCTATTTGACAGAAGAGGCAAAATCTATTTTCTCTAGAAATACCTTTAAATCGACCATGTTCAATTTCCAAACAATGACTAGAGGTTCTTAATTTACACATAATCTGAATGTTTAAGGTAAATCACTCGTCAGCTTTTTAGAAAAGTTCATGCAGAAGCTCTTACTTCAAAACTACTAATTAAAATTCAATTTTTATAACATATTTAAATTCAACAACGTAAATTTTTTAACATTCAATGAAAAAACTGCTCAAAAATCTACAAAGAAGCAAGATTTATTAGGGACTATTTCTTTTGGTGGAAGGATATTTAGCAGAAAAATATTTAGCAGAAAATTCTGCAAATCTGCACATTTAAAAAATTAAATGTAATGGAAATTTTGCCTCACATACTTTTGCTCAGAGAATATTTTCCGTTTTGATATTGCTAAAAATATTTAATATAGGTCTTAATTTATATTTTTAGACTAAGTTTTACACCTTCCCTCAACAAACTTTTCCAAAAAATGAAAATGTATTTAAGAAGTCAAGGTAAAATGTACACCATTTTTTGCCTGAAAATCACATATTTTGACAAATATTTCAAAATTAACATCACTGACCCCACCTTTTTCTTTCATTATTTTAAACTACTCGATACTTGTGACTGATCAGCACTAAAGTCGTAAAAAGTTTGATATAAGAAAATTTTTTATTGCCTATTTAGTTTTATAATACCCCAAAAATGTTATTTTTTAGTGCAAAAAGGTCACACAATAATTAACGCGCATTAATTCGCAAGATTTGTTTATTGATAAATATTATACAAACTATTTTACGTAAAATAAGATTATATTTATAGCCATGCTTACATCTAATCAAATATAATAAGGGTTAAAGTAATTGACCAAAGAGATGAAAATTAAGTGCAGAAAGGTCAACTTAAATGTACCGTAGATCAGTAGGATGCACACTGACCCCCTATTTTCTTTGCGATTTTGAGTTACACTTTATGAGTACTTGTCCAAAATATACTTCTCAAAAAATCCTTGATATAACAAATTTCAGAAGTGACTTACCTTAAGGAGATAAGTTCCATAAAATATTACAATAGAATATAGTAATATAAACATATTTTTGGGCAGTCGTGAAAAAAGAATTGTCGTGATCCCTGAATAATTTAATTTCGCTTGTATCAAGCAATTTCATTGGCTGAATCATTCAGAGGAGCATATAATATTTTGGATAACATAACTTGCCTACGTCACAATGAATTACGTCAAAAATGTATTACTCCGCTTGACGTTACTTTTAAAATAATGCTCAATTTGAAGTCTTTTTCCGGAGTAAATATTGTCTCATTGTCTACACTGGAATTGAATTATAAGGCATGAAGCTAATTTCAACTTATGTTATCCGATATAACAAAACTTGTGGCAGTTTACGCTTTTTTATAAACCGCTTCTATATAGGGCTTTACGTTTCTTTGTTGATATACACATTTTTATCATGCGCGAAATTAAAAGTAACGACAGCTTTAATATTACCTGATTAATGAAAAAAATCAGCATTTACATTTAATTACTCCAGATCACAGTCACAAATCATTTTGTTAAATTTATACTGGTATATAATGTCAATGATGGTCCCAGCTTATAAGTTCCATGACTTCCTGTATTCTCATCAACGTAGCAGTTTGTATGTTTTGTGATGTATCGGTATGTTCTAGAGCTTGTTGGTAGGAGTACAGAGCAGCTTGATAGTTCTCTGTCACCTGCTGACAGAACCCTAGAATCTGCCACGATATGTATCTTTGGTGTACATTTATGTACATCCCCTGATCATGGTGGACCAGATCCTGTAGGTCATTAAGAGATGTTTGTGCTCTCACTGGGTCTACATGTCTGCAACACAAGATCTCTAACATGTGTAACAGAACATCAAGTGGGATAATTATACCATATTTTGTACATTGAAGCCCAGACTGCTGTTCTGGCACCAATTCATTAATGTAACAGATTATATTGAGCAGAAAAAAATCCATCGCCATAGCATGTCTCATCTTTGTAGACCAGGATTGTCCCCTCATGGATTCACTAAAAATCCACCTTCCTGCATTTAAAACTTCATCTGAGATATACATTACGTATGGCTGTGCTAACTTGACCTTTGTCACCTCTATAACTGATATAGCTTTCTTATATCTAAATGTCTTGTAGTAAAACATTGCAAGGTATAACATATCAGAAATACACCCAAACTTAGATGCTAATTTTAGTATATAACTGAATTCTTTGTTAGCTAAATAGACTTGCTTGTTTAAAACTGAACTTGATTTTTTCTTGAATGATGCAAAACTGGTTGAAAAATTGTATAAGTTAATAGCAGTGCTCTGGAGAACACTGGCTGTACATCTCTGTATCAGGAGAACCTGGTACTGGGTCAGGGGTAAAATTATCAACTTCTCTACAGCATTGAGGAACCTCATACATTGACGTAGGTCTAGTGCTACTATACCATTCCTATACAGTTCCATAAATAGATCAGTTTCAAACAAAACCATCATAATTTGCTCATGTATACCAATGGGAGTTAGAAGGACACTTGTAACACTATACCTGATAGATGGACAATAAAACACAGATGCTATACCCCTCTCATACAATTCATAAAGCCTGATGAATAAATGTTTTTGTGCTTCACCATGGATATTACTCAGAAACATGTTGTTTTCTGGAATAAAGAAGTTTGGACATACTCCTTCATGCACCCATTTGAGAATAAGTTTAAAACAGACCCAGAAACACTCCAGAACATTTTGTGGAATCCATTGAGGAATTGTGTTTTGTTGAATGATCCAGAAAACTGCTGTCTTTATGTGATACGAACACAGTAATTTATCCTCATCCCTTAATCTATGATTAATAGACTCTTTTAAGAACATCTTTAGAAGCCCATAGGTTACGAATTGGCAATGATTCATTGAGTACACAAGTTTTTGTTCTGCCAAAGAGAAGGAAATTCTCCATTCTTTGTCTGCGTGTTTTCCTAGTTTGTGTCCTATTGCTACAAAGTGGCATCCATTTCTGACTATGTCATCAACAACATAAGATGGTGGCCATGAGTGACATCGGTCTATCCATTTGGAGGCAGGAGGGGGCCAAAAATCACAAACAAAACATTGGGCATGGTCATACTCTCCTCTGCCCAAAAGATCACCACTACCACACGGACCATGTTCCTTAGAATTAGGCAGAACTGCTGAACATGTTATCTGTCTGTATTTAGAACTGGATATATATTGTCTTTCATTTATTCTCATACATGCATTCTGTACACTTTCCCTTTGTGTGGGTTTCAGTAGTTCAAGTAAAGCAAATCCTGGCGGGCTCTCTGTACAATCACACAGAATCAGCGTTTTTCTATTAAAGACGTAATTTTGAGCCTGATCTAAGTCCCATATAACGATGTGGTCACTTGGCCAGAACATGACGTCCACATCTGATCCCTCCAGCCTGAATCCTTCTCTGCGACTCCCACTCTTCATCTCCCTGTCTTCTTTTATTTTTAATATTTGATTTTCCATCATTTCCCTGAAGTCCGTCAGCTCTCTCCTCATGATCACATGTTGTGAGGACCCCACTATGATCTCTAGTCCCATAAATACAGTCTCGGACAGATGCTGCATACCGAATTCCCTGTACAAAACATGATAAATATATCTACAAAAATATGTTTAAAAATTAATATCATCTTCAATGAGTCCTAGTTATATTGAGTTATGTAATTAAATACATGTAATTGTCTAGACTAAAAAACATACATCGTTTTTATGTTCCAACGTCTCACTAATTACACGTCCATGATTGTCAATTGATCACAGAATAAATAGCAATATAATCATATTTTTGTGCAGTCATAAAAATAGAGTTGTCGTGATACGTGAACAAAATTGTGTAAGTTTAATACTTTACAGCGTGTATTGAAACTTCCTTTCTGACTAATTCGATTTCAAAAAATGAATACTTTTTTTGGTTTTCCTAATCACACGTGCACCCTCACGCACGCACACACACGCACACCCACACATACACACCCTCCCTCACATACACACACACACACACACACACACACACATACGTGTTTGGACTTCGATCTGGGGACCCTGCCAAAAAATCTTAAAATGGGGACTAAGCGATTTCGTGGCAGAATTGGTATTGTTTAA